GACTTGGAAAATGTCAGTAGGACTTAACTAGTAAAATATCTTTAATTTTCTTCGAGAGCTGCGATTCAAATCGATTCATAATTTTTCAGAGTATTGGAAGATAAAAATAATATCTTTACAAATGTAATTTATCAGAATATGTGTTTGTTTCACTTTCAATCATCACTCACTGTCGCTGGCCATCGTCATTGTCATCAATTACAAAATGCATGTTTATGTTTGCTTCTTTTATACGAAATAAAACAGGCTTATGATTCAAGTTGTAATTCTCAAATGAACGTTAAACTGTTATTGTAATTAAAAAGGAGATATTTGGATAGAACATAGGCCTATTTTAAGTTTTACAAAATGAATTAAATTCAAGTTATAAATAAATAAACGCGCTATAAAGTTAAACTTAGGAATAAACTAAGCCTATGCTTAGTTGCCTATGCAAAGATTAGTACAAATTTTGGTTATACTCAGATAATTCCTAATTTTAACTTTATACCGCGTTTATTTGTAAAGCTGTAAGTGATTTTACATGTATCAAGTGAAAAGCGGCGTATATTTTTGTCACGTAATCCCGTAACTTGAACACATAATGACAACATAAACGTAATTTGACTTTATTAGGGGGATGGTAATATCTCAGTATTTCCTAGTGAACAAACGACCTTGCTACGTCGTCAAGGTCAAAAGGAAATCTCTTTATTGCATAAACGCGCTGCTATTGTTTTTTTTTAACGAATTGTTTAGATATGCAACAGTCTATCTTTTTTCGTCTATTTTTTTACGATTCATTTATAAAAACACTAGTTAATTCATCATTGAACTAAATAACAATACTTCCTTATTTACTATAACTTTTGTATTAAGCAATATCTTATTTATAGAATAAATGAGAAATTTTAATAAAACGATAGTAATATAAACGACAAATGTAATATTGTAAACATCCTGCAACGTGTTATCCAAGATGTTTCATTTCATGAGATTAAAAGAGCTAGTCGTTTAGAAACATTTATAAAGTGGAACAGACTGTAAAGTTTCCTCTGTTATTTTTCAGTGGTTTGCAAACTTGGGTTTTAAGAACGATAATTGTTTCTTGGAGTTAATGATTTTTTGAAACCCTGTGTACAATTAACTACATCTGAGCCATTTACGACAATAAACAAACACAATTTATGTTTGATGAAAAATATGTTACTGTCTGTGATAGTTTGAAATTCACGAGGTTTGCTAGATAATATTATATCATAACTATATAAAGACGGCGAATGGTATAAATGCGTTAAAACATCCAAATTAAATAACACAATTTATCGTTGAAAGTTTTGTAAGAATTTTTTTTTATGATAGCGCCTGTGATATAATATCGGCAATTATACAATTATGAGAATACCAAGAGACAATAAAAGGTAGCGTTTCCAAAGAGATTTAAACCAATTTGAATCAATTTCTTCGTATCATTTATTAATAATTTGCGTTTCTAGTCTAGGAATTACTTTTTTCTATTTATTAATAAAATCGAATAGAAATACAAAGCATCTTTGAATGGATTTTTTAGTAAAAGAAGAAGCAAAATTGGACGTACACATTGTTAAAATTGTAACATATACGAAGGTACAACAATATTTTTTTATGCCATTCCTCTATGCAATGATAAAATTGATGCTTCGTGTACGGCCTTGACTCGCAAAGTGTTTTGTACACCGCAATTAATGTACAAACTTGACGATGACAATAGAAAACAATCATGTAATTTGTTTCGTTTATAACAATACTTTATTACGAAATCTAATAAAAAAATTATTTAACGAGTTTGCATAACACAATTTATTGTAATGAGAAGAATAAATTAATAACATAAGTTTTATGAAAGATATTATGTATGAAAGGAATTTGTATGTCAACAGGCTTAGTTTTAGAGTTTGAAATCTGATGACTTTTAGATGAGATTTTCAATCATTACGTAATTTTTTTACTTTAAAAAAAGGCTATCACGAAAGTATCATCTTCGTGGAACTCGATTAGATAATAAGTGGTTAAAGTTAATAGATGTTTATCTACGTAATAAATGATGGGGTCATTACTTAACGGCCAAGGATGCTTATTGTTACTGGCATCTGATAAGTAAATATAACTAAATGTAAAATATAGAACATAAAGTAACATATAATTTTATGAATCTTGTTCACTTTACAAATCCTACACTAGTTATTTCTACTTTAAAAAGACTTCCTTTAAAATAAGCTATCAATGTAACCAAGAATGAAATTAATGTTATTTTAATTTACATTTGCCAAATTTATCAATTTGCAAATTACAAGTAAAAACTCGTTTTCAACTTATCATTTATTCGAAGTCGACCGGCGACGTAAACAACTTAATACGAATGACAATAACAATAAATATCGAAATATAACAATTAACATATAAATAACAAAACGATTACAATCACAAATAATACTTCTTTAACGCAGTTTATTTTCACAGCATTAGATGTCCTACTGTTAACGAAATACAAAATTTTTTCACAATCCACTTTGTAATTAGTCATACCTTCTCTACTATACATTATAAGTTTGCAATCGGCTTTTTTTGATACGTATATTCTTCTATTTATTGTAGGATCGAATACAGTCGTCAACTTCCAGTCTTTAATATTTTTTGAATTACTCGAAGATGTTTTTATTTCATTACTCTGTGGTGGTGGTAATTCCTCATTCCATGATCCAACGTCGACCTGATCTTCATCCATTTTCTTATAATTATAATCGTGAATATAACTTCTAAGAAATGCTTGAGTTATATCACAGTAAACTGTTACAGTATCAACTATTTCCATGTCTTCTATCCTGAGCCAACATTGTTCCGAGCGATCGTTCCGGTTCGGAAGTTCGAATGGTATTGGGAATACTGCGTACGGTTTTATATTGACGGCCGCTTCTTTTGTAACAACAAAAGAGACCAATGTTATTGTAATTGCAGCACTGAGTAACATTTTAACGGTGCACTTGCTTCAACACCATGATTGGAACTAAACTTAGTTAACGTTACGACTCGAGCAAACCACCTGAGTACTGTACAACACTCAATTACGAGTGAAAATAGGTTATTACAGAATTGCTGTTTCTTATATAACTTTTGTATTCGGGGAAAAACAGATACTTTTTCCTCTATCACATTTGAAATAAGGATTCTTGGGTATTTTATTGTTAAAAATTTATTTCTTGTTCCTTTCCTCGTTCGAGTGTTACGCTATGCAAAATATACGAAATAGAATCATTGCATGTTTTAAAATATGTTAATATAAAAAAATAACCATTGTGAATGGATCAAATATATCAGTGTATTGAAATTCCCTGAATTTGTAGGATATAAACTAAGTACAGAAAGTATATTATGAAAGCTAAATAAATCTAGACTTACTGCCTTAAAAAACTAACGTTGATCTGTTTAAAAGGAAAAATTAGTAACAATATTGGTGTACATCAAAAACTTGCTATCATATTTCATAATCTAACTAATGTTACTAATATTATAAATCTAATTTCTAACTAACATTATAAATGTGAAAGTTTAGATGGATGGATGTTTGTTAGAGTTTGTAGCCTAAACGACTGAACGGATTTCGGTGAAATTTGGTACAGATGAAGAGGATAGTCTGGAAGAACACATAGGCTA